CATGGAGCTGAGAAGAGTGAGCAAGCAGGTCAGTGTACCTTTGAGAAGGTTACAGACCTTGGATTTCGGCCTTGGATTTCAGTTAGAGATGCGAGTAATCAAATGGTTCGACTATTTATGGGCGAATAAGCAGTCGCTGAGCGATCAACAAGTTCTGAAGGTGCTTCCCGATAAGTTGCAAGCCGAAATTGCTATGCAGGTGCACTTTGAAACACTGCGAAAAGTGCGCATCTTCCAGGTGAATGCTTCGACTTTGTTCTCTTGTGAATGTGAAAGACCTATCGCCTGCTCTTCTTGTAAAAGCCTTGTGGGCCGCCCACTTGTTTCAGACTTCTTTCTCGTCAGAGGGAATTAGTGATCTGCCCACTTGTTGGAGCAGAGTAGTGAATAGCAATGGTAACTACCCTATACATATTCTGAAGCATAGGGCTCACATTCACGCCAAACGCCGCGATCTCTTCTTTTTCACTTAAATAAGGGAAAAATTTAGCAAAAAGGGAAATGCAAAAAAACAAGAAGTCTCCTGGTGCGCTTACCGGGTGTGGAGCGCAGGGCACGTCCTGCCGCCGGGGAAAATTTTCGGAATATAGTACCTCCCCTCCCCTAACTTTCCTCCTCTGCTACGACCCCTATCCTTCCCCATCTCACCTAGTATCTTACCAGCTTTTCTCGGCTTCCTATCGCATTTTTCCATTTTCCCCCAAAATGTTGCTATCGAGCGGGGGAGAGGGAGGGGGATAACCACCCACCAATACTACCAATTTTGAATTTCAACGTCGATGAACACGATTCCCCCTCCCACACCAACTGGAATTTTGCCGACGGTGTGGGTAGCGCCCGTGAAACAGGAAAATTGTCAACTATCACAAGACCCTCAGACCAGATACGACAACCACGACCCCCGTCCTCCCTCTACCGGCCGAATACGACCTCCTGCAGAGGATTCCCCGAGGTACGACGTGCCGTGGACAGTGCGTTTGCACCTCTCAAACGACCGGCACTCCTGTGTCTTTGTCTGTCTAGCCAACTAGCTAGGAAATACTCTGCGAGTACGCGTGATGCTGTTACTCGGACGTAACGCTCTACACTTCTATCTAGCACTTGGGTGATTTCTGTGTGCGTCATCAAAAAATAATTAAGAAAATATAACACTCTAACAAGTAACAACACTGTCTTTCCAACCCAGTATGTCAGTAAAATCTCCAGACCCTTCGACGTGCTGTATAACGCCAATGATATACCCGTTCACCTTTCAGCAAGTACGTACGCCTAGGATCGTATCCCTCTGCTACATCAGTGCCACCGTACCATCAGCGTGCTACATCATTCCCAGACCACTGTGCGGTGAAGGCGAAAACCTTCAGATCCTTCCTTTTTCCTCGATTCCAGCCAAGTTTATCTTCCCAGCACACTGAACTACTCATCCATTAGCAATGCTTTTCGCTCTTCTTGCCCTTATTTGCTTTATTTTCAGGATTGCGAAGCCGGACTGCTAGCTGAGCTGGTGCTTAAGTTGCAGTTACAGGTAAATTAACACAAAAATACGTCCAGCCGGAAGACTTTATAGATGTATACATGTTCAGGTGTTTTCTCCCGGAGACTATATCTGCCGGAAAGGAGACATCGGTCGAGAGATGTACATCGTGAAACGAGGCAAACTGCAAGTAGTAGGCGATGATGGGCAAAAGGTTTGTAAACAGAAAGGCAGGAAAAACATCAATGCAGAGTATCAAGCCACGAATAGAAAAAAACGTGAATAGATTCCTTGTTGCACGGCCAAATAGGTAGATTAGGCCCAGTTATGTAGCACTCCAAGCTAGCTGACTCAGCACAGCAACTTGGGGTTATGTCAATTAAATAACGTCACCTTAGGTCTCGTACCAGTTAGTTTAGTGCCCGGCATAGCACGCTAGCTCCGTGACTCAGATAGCGCCAGGGTGCTATTTCAAGTCAACTGGATACGAGTGACAATTGCGCGTAAAGACGCTCCTTGGATTTACAGGACACACCTGACGGTCAACGATCACATACTCCCTTCGTTATCGGACTCACAACAAGGAATGCTGAGCAGAGTAATGATCATACATCTATATAATCAGAAAAATGAGCCGCAGCGCGTGGACGACAGGGAGCTG